GCCAAGCATAGACAAAAAACCACGGCCCCAACATGTATGCTATCTGTTTATGTGATTGACATGCTTTTGCAGCTGACTGTGCTAATATCTACAAAAAAAACCCTCTATGGGACTGGTGGCAGTGCCACTGTTGATGATAAAGACTACCTGTTAGAAAACCATGCACAAAACAAATTAATAAACAATCCTCCCAGACCCCACAGAACTTGTTTATGGGCAGGCCTGCTAGAATAGTGGGTGCTCTGGTTGTTTGTGGGATTGTAAGCTTACAATCCTTCAAAACAAAACCCAGGAGGTGTGGGTTTGAGGGGGAGGGGTTGTTACAATTGATGTACCAGTACCTACTTACACTTCACCTTTTTTGTACTTTTATTTTTCCAAGTCACATGACCAGTCACGTGACCATTTACTTTACTTTACATTTTCGGACTTTTCATAGTCACATGACCAATTATGTGACACATCACCTGACCAAGTGTCTAGACTCATCATGTGACCGGTCACATGCTAGACATTGGACTTTAAACTTTATTTACAACTGTACAGTACCTCATGTATTTGAGCATATATACTGGAGCAATACACGGGAAAGGACTCAGCGAGTCCTCCTATTGTCTACCAACAACTAACTTGTTGAATCCTAATGGGTAACCACTCCCACCTCTTCCTCTTCTTCTGAGTGTTGTTTTCATTGTGCTCCAGTGCCCCAAGACTATATCTTGTTGGTGTTGTCACAGGGGTAGCTGAGAAATAAGGGCTTGGTACTGAACAAGATGGGGAACTGAGTTAAATAAAGACGAGCACTACCTTGTTAATTGTATGTAGCACAAGATAGGTTTGAGAACAATAAAAATGATGGGAATCCTAGTGATAGCAGGCTTCTGACGTGCATACTGTAGTGCTCAAAAGGACTCTAATAAAGGGGATGACAGTGACTTCAACAGTAGAAAGTGATTATGATAACAGTAAAAAGTATAGCAGTGAAAATTATTGGTATTGTGACCACACTAGATCACAGTAGACAGTGGAATTGAGCTTGGAATTATGTGAGGGATCCTATGTACTTAATAGGATGAGACAAGATTTGAGGACAAGACTAGATTGTCATTTTAATAATGTACAATGTAGAGTACAGGGGTTTATATAGTAAAAAAAAGTAAACCTATGTATAGTATGTCTGTGCAAAAGAAGGAGAAAGGATACAAAGAAATGTAATGACAAATCCTATGAGGGTAGTACAGGATAAAATTGTTAGAATAAGAAAAGAAAAAGATAGGAACAAAAAAATGAGATATCTAAAATGTTACAGAATGCACAGCCAAAATAATAATTGCACTGCAAATGAATGTCCTGCTGAGGAAAAGAAACTGGAGCCACTGGTCCACCACCTAGTCCAAATCCAACAGTACCCTGGTCTTACTGAGAGTCTGGTTGTAGTGGACTACATGGTCAAAGAAGGGAGGGAGGGTGGTGGTTCTAATCTGGAACAGATGATTCCTAGGGAGTATATGGTAACTGTAGCTGTAGCAAAGATGATGGATGAAAAATGAATGTACCTAAGCAAATGGGACAGCAAGGAGCATTGGTGATGCAAGTGGATGGACTTTCTTCCAGCTCAAAAACTACCCAGCCACATTCTAACCAAGTAAGATGAGCAACCAATAGTTCAATATTAGAATATGGTAGATCATTGTTATGGAGGTGAACCAACTGCCTAATTTAGAGTGGCTGCCGTGGCTTGGCTAATATGAGCAGTGGCGCATGAAAATCAATGGATTGGTGATGGAAGCAGATAGAGAGTGGTGACATCAGATGGGGATGAGGGAACAGCGAGGAGGAGGAGGAGGAGGAGGGTGGAGGTGATAAAAAGTGGATAATGATGGGAATCCAAAAGCAACTGTCAGGTGAGAGCAGAAACAACAGAAAAGGGCCCTGGTGGGGCCAAGTGAGGAACTGGAAGTAGGAGAGAAATAACAAAAGAGAGAGTGCAATGTGTAGTCAAGTGGTAAAGTGCAGAAAGTACCAGATGAAAAAAAAAGTAGGTGTGACTTGATTGCCTGTTATAGACAAGTGCTAATCAGCCACAAGTACAAACAAGGTAATATCAATTACTATTCCATATGGCACTGTGCCTGTGTGGCGCAGAAGTGAGTCTTTTAAATTTTCACTTTGTTACTAACACCTGTCTATGCTACCAATCAACTTTGGTGCATGACACCACCTACAGCTTGAAGATACATTGGGGGTGGACTACACCAACCCCACTTCATGGAAGGGGGATGTGATATGTCGACATATATCCCTTCAGAATGTTTGGCTAGCAAGTTGTCCTTGCAAGAGTAGAACTTCAGATGGACGTCAATACACTAATATTTTAGTAAAACACTGACCTATTGGTGATGCCAAATACCCTGGGGTGTCTCTTGACTTGTATCCATTTCTGATCAAATCCCTACTAGCTGCCATCTCTGATAAGATATTCAACGATGGGGGAGTCAAGAATCAACAAGCCGCTGAAGTTAGGGAGGATGATGAAGCAGCTGACAAGGCTGTCAAAAG